CCTCCATGCTCAGGTATATATATTTTTTATTTTTTTTCTTCTTAGTTTTTTTATTTAATATGTTTTATAAATTGTTTTTCTCCTTTTAACTTCACTTGCAACTATATTAAGGTAAGTTTTTTTTCTTATTTTTTGGTGTTTTTTCACTATATTTGTTATTTTATTTTACTTTTTACTTTTTATTTTTTTTGTTCCTAATAATTATATGAATATTGTTGTTGAATTTTTTTTTCATATCAAATCAATTTTTAATTGATTTATTTATAGATTTTTTAATTTTTTGCAATCATAACTTCATTTTTCATATTGATTTGTTTAGTTAGATTTATTTTTTCATATTATTTATTTTTTATAAATTTATTTAAATTTATTTTTTATTAAATATAATAATATCTAGTATTGTGATAGTAACATGTGTTAATATCATGAGACTGATATCACAGTCATATTATTGGACACTTCCACACTTAACCTAAAAAAAAAAGCATCTATGTGAAATCACGAGTATCAATATAAATAAAAAGGAAATATTTTTTTGTTTAAACCAAGAACATACAAAAATTATTTTTTTAATAATTTTAAAGTTAATTTATATCATTTTAAAGTAGTATTTAATATTATGATCAAGATTTTTCTAGGATATTTTTTGTTCAAAAATATATAAGTACATCAAAACAATTAAAAAAAATAACAAATATTTTTAATATAAGTACATCAAAACAATTAAAAAAAATAACAAATATTTTTTTAAATAACTATAAAAATAAAATATAAATAACAAGTAAATGATTGAAAAACAAAATAGCACCGTGGTAGTGACTGAAAAAACAATTACGTATTATCACATTGCTAGATACAACCACACTTAACCACAATATCACGAAGGCACCTGTATGAGAAATCTGGAACGTTAATATATAAATATATATATATATATATAGGAAATTACTTTTTTAAAAAAATAAATTAATTTATATCATTTTAAGGTAGTATTTATTATTGTGGTAAAGAATGTTTTTTAAAGTATTTTTATTTAAAAATATATCAAAAAATATTTTTAATACCAATATATTAAAATAATTTAAAAAAATAAAAAAGTAATCTTGAAACAATAACTATATAACAAAATATGAAGAGCAAGTAAACATATTATCTGCGATTGTTTTGTTCCGACAAATGTCAACTAGTCTGTGGAATCATTTAATGTTGTTCCAGGGAATTTAAAAGAATTTGTTCCCACCTGGAATTCCAAGAAATTCAAGAGTTCAATTTGTTCACACCCGGATCATTTAACGCTGTCCATGTAACTCCAAGAAACAATTATAGACATCGATCCTTACCCACTCATCCACTTTTTATCAATTAGATTTTCAATTTAATGAACTCAAATATGATTTTCTAGTGCATGCGTGGGGCTAAGCATGCATACCAAGGCTGTATTTTGTTTAATAATATTATTCAATCTGTTTTTAAAATTTAAGAAATATTAAATTAATACTTTAATAATCTTGATATATTAATATTAAAAATAAGAAATATTATTTTCATATATTCTTAACTAAAAAAATATCTTTAAAGAACATTGTATCGCGGAACAAGCTTATAGGAACTATGAAAAGTCTAGTCTTCCTTTACTTACACTACAAAAAACAGCGGCTATTAGCATCTGAATTTAACAACGGATAATTCCGTTGCTAAATTCAGTAACAGACTTGCAACAGATTATATATATATTATTTTTTAAATATTAGCAATGGATTTTAGTAACGGACAATCCGTTGCAAAATTTACATTGAATTTAGCAACGGATTTTCCGTTGCTAATTGAAAAAATAAAATTTAAATATTAATATAAAGCTGAAATTATGTTGACCGTTGATTGCATAAAATCTAAACCGTTTATTTTCGCTCTTTCCCCCCACACCGAAATACAGACACCAACAAAATCATTTACAGCTGAAAATTACATCACTTTCACTCTTCCAGTGCATCCGTCATCCCTAATAACAATATCAATCCCTAACTGTTGAAAAATCACCCTCTCTTCATCGATTTCATATTCCTTTATCCGAAACTGTTTATCATTTTCTCATTCATCTTCAGCATCCGTAATTTCTTTTCTTCATCTTCTTCTCCTTCATCGATCTTACCAGTTTCAATATTTCTATATAAAGCAAGAAAAACAGAGACCCATGGTAACATCACACCAGACCCATCATCATCAGTATCGAACATCCTGATTTACCCTTTCTCTGTAAACGGGTTAGGTTTTGCACTTTTTTCTTCAATAGCTCAGGTAACTAATTTAGGGTTTTTATTTTTTTTGTTGCAATTGAAGTTACACTAAACAGTTCTAACCTAAATTTTCTAATCTCAGGTGTTATTTTTTCGTGTTGATCCATCTCTCTCATCTGTAACTGAAGAACGTACAGGTAACAATTGTTTTTCCTGATACTTTGAATAATAGTTTTAGGCTATTAATTCAATAATATAAGGTTTATAAAATGTTTTTACCATGATTTATAATCTAATTATGCATGTTTAATTGAAAATTTATGAAAACCCCCAAATTAATTTTTAGGGTTACGGTTCATAAATTGAATGATTTTATGCAAATTGACCAATGCTGGCAATTCTTGTGTCTGGAAGAGAGTGATTTATGGAAATTATGCCTGTTTAATTGAAAATTTAGCAAAACCCCCCAATTTAATTTTTAACAATTAGTTTTTTGATGCTGGGTGTTCTTTGATGTCTGCAAGTCTTTTTGTCCTCCTGTGCGCCAACACCTAGGTGATTTGAATGTATTCATATACTTATATATATAAAAAGAAACTTGGTTGTTGATGTTGTGTTTTGTTAATAAGATTGTTGTTTTATTTTTGTATCTTCATTCATTATTTTTAAGCAAGCTAAACATGCTCTCTTTATTTGTGGGGTAATCGTGTGGATGGCTTGTCCTGGATAATGACAGTGGAATGTCAGCACCACATACTAGTTGAACATGCCATAACAGTAGCAATTGCTTGGAGATATTTCAATTGGAACTCTCTCTATTCTCTGTATACATTGTCTCGGGTTTCCAAGTTCTTAGTAGTTGGGCGGCTTAATGTTTATGGTGGTTATGCTTGGAATAGAAGAAAAAAATTGCTCTCAACAAAGTATATTCTAAAAGACTATCTTAAAAGATAATTGTATATGATAACATAGATATATTCCACTTTTCATAACTGAAAGATAGCCAAAAAAAACCTTGTAATATCAAATATGTATGTCAATTCTTGGATTTCATTGATGTCAGATATTTATGAAATTAATACTTGCTTTAGGAACTTGATTCTAGTTCCATTGCTTTATTTATCAAAGCCCTTTTCCTTTTCCTGAATAATAAAGTTCTCAAGTGATTTATTTTGACTGCTAGTAGACATAAATGTATGTATATGTGTGTGTGGAGAGCATGAAACATGCTTAATCATTTCAATCAACTAAAGGTTAGTTGAAACTGAAAATCAACTAAAGCTAATTTGATCCCTGTAGTACCATAAAGCAGTATGCTTTCAATGTTTAATTATCCATAAAGACATAGTTTATAAAGGACAAATCCAAATCAGTATAACCTTGTGTTTATTCTTGAGTATGCTTAATAAGGTTAATCTTAAAAGAGAAGTATTCTCAATAAGGTACATGAATTATTTCGGGAACATTTTAGCAACACATCATCTCTTCCTTTGTTGAGATGACTAAAGCTCACAACTGTTATAGTACCTAATGTTTGCTTTGTTATTTGGCTTTTTTTTTTAATTTCTGGGTCCTGACATGACTTTGTTCAATATGATGAATTAGGTTTTTAAGCGTGGCAGCAAGTTATCTTCCTCAATAATTAATCATCCTTTGGGTTCTTCTTTGCGCGAAAACGGTGTGTTGCGTTCTTATTACTATTTACTATGGTCTCCTTAATGCTTTGTTCTTTTGAGGTCTTGTGCTGTTATACTACATGTCATTTACATGGAATATCATTTAATGCATCCAGCTTTCGTTGTGCTATGCTTTTTGTACCTTGTTGTTTTGCTCTTTGAACTAAAAGCATGTCATTAGAATTTCCTTTTATGCAAAGGCTTGGTTTTGTAGAAAAATTATGTCCTGCCCATAAAAATTCTTATTAAGTTATAGGTTTTAAGAGATAATAATTACAGTAAATTATAATTAATTTTTTTGAAAACTATAAGTTAGTTCCTTGTTATTAAATTAAATGAAATTTATCAGGTTGGATCTTAAATGAAAAAAAATATTTGTTATGAGAAGACAAGTATCAAAAAAATAATTGATATTTAATTATTATTTCACTATGATATAAAACATAGATACATTGTATATAATTAAAGAGACAAAGATACAAATGTTGGAATAAAAATAAAAAGATCTGAATATATGATTATGATTTCATTTACCATTTCTTAGTTTACCAAAAAAAGATTTGAATAAAAATAAAAAAGTTTGATGGATCTAATAAAAATAAAAGGCTAAAAAAAAATAAAAAACTCATTTGAGGTTGTAACAAAAGTTAGAAGGATCAATAAAAAAAAATTAAATCCAAAACTACTATAAAGATAAATTTATTTAATATTTGTTCAACTAAATATTTTTTTTCTTTATCTATTTATTCTGTATAGAATACTAATCAAACATAATCTAAAAGTGTACTTTTGTCAATAATTGGCTTATATAAATATAAATGAAAATTATTAAGATTTATTTAAAGCATTTAACAAAAACTCAATAACAAAGACTAGAAGGAAAATAATTATCCAGGTTTTAACAAACACATGTGCATATATCCCATCATTAACATTTTTTGGCTTGATATATGTTTGAACTGGACAAATAATTATAGTTTATTCATGTTGTACATATTTTATTTTAAAGGATTGTTTAAATAGTAGTAGTTAAAGAAGTATGCTTATTTCTAAAAATACTTATTGGTGTTGTCCTGTTAATTAGATTAACATGGATGATCGATCATGGATGTATCGTCGTCTTATGGATGGTCGCCTTCGTCCTGAATACATTACCGGTGTTAGAAGATTTATCAATTTTGCATTTTCAATTGATAAAAATATATCTGGGGGAAAAATTAGATGTCCTTGTGTGAGGTGCAAAAATCAAAAGTTTTTAAAGGAAGATGATGTTTGTAAACATCTATTGACAAAAGGTTTTATACCTTGTTATGAAAATTGGACAGTACATGGGGAGCCTTATGTTACGGAACCAATATTGGCTGGACCTTCATCAATTGGAATGAGTCATGTTATGAATGATGTTTGTCTAGAGAATCCATATAGAAATCTAGTTATAGATGCAATGGGGGTTGGTGATGCATTCTATAATGATAACATGTCTAGTCCTATGGTAGCAGGGGAAATTCCAAATCCGGAGGCAACTAAATTTTTTAATCTTTTGAAAGCTGCGGAGGAGCCGTTGTGGGATGGGTGTACCAAGCAATCCAAATTATCTGCTTGTGTACAATTGCTTAATATGAAGTCAACATTTAATTTGACTCAGAATGCCTTCAACAATTTTATTGATTTTACAAAAAGTTGCATGCCTAATGATGAAAATTTGGTATCAAATTTTTATGATGCCAAGAAATTTATGCGACCACTTGGACTTGGGTATGAGAAATTTGATGTGTGTCCTAATTATTGTATGTTGTACTATGGGGCTGATGCAATGAAAACAAATTGTGATTTTTGTGGAAGTTCACGATACAAACCTAGAAATCCAACCAGTAAAGGTTCCAATAAGGCAGAGAAGCAACTTCGATACTTTCCCTTAACACCAAGGCTTCAAAGACTGTTCATGTCTCCATATCACGCCAAAGATATGACATGGCATCATTATCACAAGTCAGATAATGGGGTTATGGTGCACCCATCTGATGGGGAGGCATGGAAGGAGTTTAATCGTGTTCACTTCAGCTTTGCATCAGATCCGAGAAATATTCGATTAGGGTTGTGCACTGATGGGTTTTGTCCATTTGACATGTCTTCAAATACATACTCTTGTTGGCCAGTAATTGTGACTGTTTATAATTTGCCTCCGTGGAAGTGCATGACTAGACCATTCATGTTTTTGACAATGCTGATTCCTGGGCCAAAGAATCCGGGTAAAAAGCTTGATGTTTTTCTAAGACCTTTGATTGATGAGTTAAAGAATTTATGGTCTGTTGGTGTTGAAACATATGATGTCTAAAGAAAAGAAAATTTTCAATTAAGGGCAGCTTTGATGTGGACCATTAGTGACTTTCCAGCATATGGCATGTTATCGGGGTGGAGTACTCATGGAAATCTGTCTTGTCCTTATTGTATGGAGCATAGCAAGGCTTTTAGATTAAAAAATGGACGGAAAACTACATTTTTTGATTGTCATCGACGATTCCTACCCATGAACCACCCATATAGACATCAATCAGATAAGTTTTTGAAAGGAGTAATTGAAAGGCTCCCTCCTATACCTCGTCCATCTGGTTTGGAAATGTTAAATGAAGTGTCCAAGTATACTGAGGGATATATTGGAGGTTCATCATATAATGTTAAAATTCCAGGATTTGGTGTTAAACACAATTGGGTGAAGAAGAGTATTTTCTGGGAGCTTCCATATTGGCATATAAATTTGATTCGTCATAATCTTGATGTCATGCATATTGAGAAAAATGTCTTTGACAATATTTTTTATACAGTAATGGATTGTCCTTATAGAAGCAAGGACAATTTAAAGGCTAGGTTGGATATTCAATTGTATTGTCATAAGCCAAATTTACATTTGCAACAAGATATGAGTGGTCGGGTTTACAAACCTAAAAGCACTTATTGTCTACACAAGAAACAACAACAAGAAGTGTTGTCATGGATGAAGGAGTTATCATTTCCTGATGGTTATGCTTCAAGCATTTCACGATGTGTGAAAGAGGCACAATGTAAGGTTTCGGGGATGAAGAGCCATGATTGTCATGTCTTCATTCAAAGACTTCTTCCAACTGCTTTCCGACCTTACTTACCTAGACCATTGTGGGAGGCATTAACTGAACTATCCGTATTTTTTCGAGATATTTGTTCAACAAATTTAAATGCCCAGCACATGGAGTTAATGCAGATGAATATAATTGAAATAATTTGCAAACTTGAAAGGATTTTTCCTCCATCCTTCTTTGACTCCATGGAACACTTGATGATACATCTACCTTACGAGGCAAAAGTTGGTGGACCAGTTCAATATCGATGGATGTATCCATTTGAACGGTATGTTTCATACTATGTTCATTTTATTCATTTTTTTTTAATAAACTAATTGAAAAAAATGATATAGGTATATGTTTTATTTGAAGAAGAAAGTTACCAATAAAGCTAAAGTTGAGGGTTCCATATGTGAGGCGTACTTGATTGATGAAATTACCAATTTTGCATCTCATTATTTTGGTGATGACGTGCAAACAATTTGGAATCGAGTTCCACAGAATGATGATGGTGGCCTTACAAGTGTAGATGGATGTCTCTCTATTTTTTCCTATCCAGGAAAAAAATTATCCAAAAGATTTTATAGAAGGCAGTTGTCACATGCTGAAATGCAAATTGCGCACAACTATGTGATATTCAATTGTCAAGAACTGAAGCCTTATTTAGAGTAAGTATGAAATATTATTTTTTACTAAATTTATAATAATTTATTATTAACTTTAACATTTTTTAAATTTTAGGCAATGCCGTCAAGAGCTAAAGTCACAACAACCATATGCGAGTGATGGTGAAATTGAAAAATTATGCGAAGTGATCTTTCCAAATTGGTTAAAAAATAATGTAAGTATTTTAATAAAATTAATTTATATTTTATGTCAATTAGTTACTTTAAAAATATTATTAATCTCTTTTAAATTATTATTTCTTATGGAGTTAACTATTATGCTAGGTGGAATACCAATCTAATGGAATTCAAAATCAGCTTTTTGGACTTGCTATGGGCCCTTCAACTTCAGTGAAATGCTATAATGGGTATTATGTGAATGATTTTAAATTTCATACTCAACGTTATGGTCGTTTTAAAAAGACAATGAATAGTGGAGTTTGTGTGAAAGGAAGTTGCTATGATGATAATGAACGTGATTATTATGGAATGCTTAAAGAAGTTGTTCGGCTAAAATACTTAGGGAGTAAGTGCAAGTTATTCATGTTTAAGTGTAATTGGTATGATACAAGACGAGGAATTAGAGTGCATCCTTCGAATGGTTTGGTTGAAATCAAGCATACATCTCGACTACAAGGAAATGAAGATTTTGTGCTAGCACAACAATGTCAACAAGTCTACTATACATATCCACCTGGTAATAAATCATCTGAATGGTGGACGGTTATTAAGACAATTGCTAGAAGTCGTTATAATGTTGACATGGGTGAATTTATTAAAGATGCCAACAATGTAACATCATTTGATGTTGATCAATCAGATGAGATTTCTCAACCATGTTATGTCCTTCCTACTCAAACACTTGATGATCCAAATATACTTGTTGAATCATCTTATTATGAAGAAATCGGGCAACATGAATTGCTTCAACTTGACATAAATTGGGGAAACAAAGATGATGAAGAAGAAGATGATGATGGTGACGGTGATGGTGACGATGATGGTGATGGTGATGATGATGGTGATGGTGATGGTGACGGTGACGGTGACGGTGAAGAAGAAGATGATGATGATGAGGATGAGGATGATTGTTATGGTGGTGATGGCTAGGAGTGATGATAATAATGAGTAGCGCAATTTAATTATATTTTGTAGTACATGTAATGAATTATCTTTAATATATGTATGGATAATTTCATATTATTTGACAATATTTACTTTTTCAATGTTTTTTATTTATTATTTTATCATAGTGTGTTATGTATCACATTGCATATATCATTTTCATTGACCTTTGAAAAAATTTCTAACCTTTCAAGTATCAATATTTAAATTGTGATTCTGATGATATATTTTATTTTGTGATTTGTTTTCTTGCTTATAGATGTTGAAGAATGAATGAAAAGGTTTTTCCTACTCAGTGTTTGATTTATAAGAACAAACATTAAGGTAAGTATACTCATAAATTTTGATTTCTGCTTAATTAATTATTTAGATTTTTATTTTTATTATTGTTTGTGTTAATTGGCTTTTGATAATTTAAACTTCATGGCTGATTTTTATCATTGCAAGGAATGCTTAATGAAAATATTGTGAATCTTTTGTTCCTCGTAGTTTAATTATAAGCTAATTTATTGTTATGTGTATATATTCATATCATAATGTATATATTTTTTCTGGTTTTTAGCATGCCTCGACGAGGATCTATATTAGATTCTAGGAGTGACAGGTCCACATCAAGGAGTGACAGGTCCACTTCATCCAAATCATTTCAAACTACATCAAGGCATAATAACAAAGGATCCACATTTCATTAACCTGTGTATCAGAATGCAAATGAGTATTATATACCTACTTTGGGGAGTACACATCCTCCTCAACGTGATTATGGGAGGGTTGATGCATATCAATATTGTGAGGGCTTTCGTTTCCAAGATTTGCTTCAAACTCAAGGAGGTTTCCCTCGAGATAACCAATTTGTTTATGGAGGACATAATTTGTATAGGAGTTATGAGAGAGTTAATGGTGATGATGATGATGTGAACGTCAGAGATGAAGACGAGGGAGACGAAAGTAATGAGAGAGGTGTATGTGATGAGGATCAAGATGGTGTTCCATCATATCATGGTTCAACATGTTCTCCACACAATTATGATCAAAGTGTTAAAAGGAAGGGTTTTGACACGCCAATAGATCCAATAACAAGAAAAAAAGAGCTTTGTTTGTATGGAACAACAGAGTAAGTTCAAACTTTTGAAAACAAACTTATTAAAGTTATATTTTCAGGTATGAAAAAAATTACTTTTTATTGTGTAATTATTTGTTTAATATAAGTTTGTTATTATATATTTTCAGGTTCAATAACGCATCGTGTGGGCGTGCAATCGGAGATATTTTGAGGTCCAATTTTAAGGGAGCATGGCACTCTTGGGAAAAAGTAGATTCAATGTGCAGGGATGAACTGTTTAAAGAGTTTAAGGTAAGAACCAACACTAATTGCCATAATATTCTTTTTAATTTTGATAACTTTAATGTAGGATTATGAAAATTATCAATTAGCTATGATTGATTTGTGTTATAATTTGTACTTATTTCATGTTTACTTTTTAATATCATTTAATTTCTATAGTTATTACATCATCTTGCAAATTTTGAACAAGATAACACAATATGTTAATTATTTATATAATTTGAAATTTTGTGCACTTTTTTTACTTCGTATATATATTATTTGGTAGAAAAAATATTCTTTTCCTGAGGAAGATGAGTCGATTGTTCGTAATATTTGGGAAGATAAGGCAAGGATAGCTTTGAATCAACAATTAACACGAGCTCGCAAGAAAGCCATGTCAAAAGAAAACACTACAAATATTGTAGATTGCCTTGATAAAGGTCCTGCCTGGATAAATAATGATGACTGGAATCAAATGATCAAAGATGTTTGGTCCACCCCTGAATTTCAAAGGAGGTCTGAATCTGCTAGGAGGAATCGATTAACCAAAACAGATGGCAAAATAAGCACTCATTCTGGAGGAACAGTGTCATTTGCATCATATCGAGCTAACATGGTAAGAATTTTTTTTTTAATGCTTAAGATAAGAAATTATAATTTGTATTTTTATCTTTTATAATATTTATTAATCTTGAAAGCAAGAGGAAGCTGGTGGAAAAGAACCTCCATGGGATGATGTCTTTTCAGCTTTGCATCAAAGTACTAAGCAGTCTGGTGGCTTCGTCGACAACAAGTCGAAAAAAGTGGTTGTATGTATTTTTATTTGATTATTTCTTAATATAACTTAATTATCATTTAACATTCAAATGAATTTATTGTTGCATGTATTTTTTTTATAGGAAAATTATAAAATGGAGATGATTTCAAAGTATGGAAGTAATCGGGAAAATCATCCTTCATTTGATGGAGCAGCTTGGTGTGTGGCTTCAGGAGGAGTTACAAAGGGTAGGGTATATGGTGCACCTCGTATGCCAAAATCTATAGTTAGTCCAAGCTCTTCATCACATTCCTACTCAGTGGAGTCATCATATCCCAGTTCATCGTATCGAGCATTGCAAAAGGAGATAAAGGATAAAGAAGAGGAGATAAAGAAAAAAGATGAATTTATTCTTGAAATGAAACGACAGATGGATTCCATGAAAGAATATCTTGTGAACAATCTTGGATACAATGATGGGACATCAAATATTGATCAAGGTATGCCACCATCTTTGACTCCAGCAATATCGCCACCTATGGCTCCTCAGATAATGACATCTATGGGACCCACATCTCAACCAATTTTTCGACCTACACCTCGACCTTTATATCCTGATCAATCTTGTATCGATCCACAATATCATGGTTCGTCTTCGCAACCGGCACCATGATTGTATCTTTTGTTGTTTTTTTTATTGTATTTGAACTTAATTGTATTGATGTAAGTTTAACTAAATTTTTATTATATGAATATTAGTTTTATTCTATTTTTTATTAATGATACAATTATTTTTAATATTAAATTGTGTTGGTTATATATATTTTAAAATTTTTAAAATATCCATAAATAATTAAATTAATTAATTAAAATTAAAAATCATTGCAATAAACAAATAAAAAATAATTTAATAAAAAATAATATAATCACCAACGGATTCTCCGTTGGTGATTGTAACTAATGCATCATTCAGCAACGGAGAATCCGTTGCTGATTCACAAAATAAGCAACGGATTATCCGTTGCTCATTTTGCAACGGATTATCCGTTGCTAATTATAAGCAATGGATTTTCCGTTGCAAAGAAATCAGCAACGGATAAATCCGTTGCTAACAAATCAGCAACGACAAATTTGCATCTGAATTTTGTCGTTGCTGATTTCGTTGCTAAATTGTTTTAGCAACGGATTTTAGTAATATTTGCAACGGAGTAGTCCGTTGCTAATTACTATATTTTTTAGTAGTGTTATCTATCTTGAAGTAACTCATACTGGAACTATGAAAAGTCTAGTCTTCCTTTACTTATCTTGAAGTAACTCATACACTCTGTGTGTGTATTTGTATATAGGTAGCACAGTCTGTCCTATAAGAACAATATTTTAGAGAGCGAGAAAAGGAAGTAAACACAATGGGAGTTGCCGGAACTTTGGAGTATTTCTCTGATTTACTAAGCAATGCCAAGAAAGGCAAGAAAAAGAAGATGATGCAAACCGTAGCTCTCAAAGTCAGGATGGACTGCCAAGGCTGTGAACGTAAGGTCAAGAGTGTCCTCTACAGGGTTGAAGGTACGTAGTGGTTTTCCGTGCATGGATTCTAGCTTTTCTTCTCTAGCTAGCTAGCTACATGTACATCTTCTTTTAACCCTCTCTGTTTGTTAGCGTTTTGCCTTCTTTTCACGGTCTTTCTTCCGGTAAACAAATTAAACTTCGTACAAAATACATATCCTTCTTTTAATTAGGTGTTAAATCCGTGAAAATAGACATGAAGCAACAAAAGGTGACTGTGACTGGGTTCGTGGAGCCAGAGAAAGTGTTGAAGGCAGCTCAATCAACAAAGAAGAAGGTAGAGCTGTGGCCTTATGTCCCATACACTTTAGTGGCACACCCCTATCTTTCGCAGGCTTATGACAAGAAAGCACCTCCGAATCATGTTAGAGCAGTCCCGGTCACAGCCACTATCAGCGAGTCCACCATTGACGACTACTACATCTACATGTTTAGTGATGAGAACCCTAATGCCTGCTCCATCATGTAAAGTGTAGAATTAATGTTGATTATCTTGTTAAATAAACTCTTATTAAGACTTTCTGAGTCGTGTATTTGTGGTAGATAATAGATACGCGTAGGTTTTGATACGGCTAGTATTAATTGTTCATAAAATAGTGTGGGTGGTTCTGGGACAGTTACCACCGTATAATGAGGGGTGTTTTTTGTGTTTGAAGTACAAAATTCACAAATAAAAATAAAATTAGACCGGTGAGAAAAACATATTTATTCTATATGCATTATATATATAATGAAACCCAGCCCCACCAGACATTAGGAAGTAGGAAAGGAATTTGAATGTGATACTCTCCGCATTAACTGATCCCCTCTAGCTATGGCTTGAAGTTGCAACTTTGTGCTATATATAGCAGTGCAGGTCAATTTCTGCAAGTTCTGGCTTCTGCACGGAATGCTACTGCTACAAAAAAAGCCACGCAACCACTGAAGTTGTAGAGCAATGCCTCTTATTTTCTTGAAGCTAACGTCTTGTATCATTACTTCTGATGGGGCCTGCGAAGGATATAGATAATCATCAACTTTCAGTACTATTTTTTAGTCCAAATTGATAGACTAGATATCTGTAAATCATTCAGATTTTTTTTAGTAGTGCATGCCTTTTTATGCCACTCTGATTATGCGGGGAAAACACTTGATCTACGATCTCCATTAATTGTCAACGTTTTCCATGACCATATATCCACCAAATATTGCAGGCCAAGAGTTAATTCTCACACCATTTGATGTGTGATTTAGACGGTGCAATTCCTGACATGACTTCCCAATACAGGTTATTTGTTTAGGCTTTTTCATAAGCTTAATTTCCAGACATATTCATGATCTATAGGTCCACAGTTTTTGTCTTTGCTACCTACAATTATTTTTGGTTCAAGCAAGTTTGCCCTTGACTGCCATAAACTTCAGCACCTAACAAGCTAAACTGGTCACTGGTTGATGTATGTGAACGTAACAGCCATCTCCTTCAAGATCAGCAGGAGCGTTCACTGTATCTCCAACTCGAGACTCAACAGCGGCCGGGCTCGCAAAGACCTGACATGGCCGCAGTTTGGTCTACCAAGTATGTTCAGTTTGGAATCAAAACTTGACTTGGACTTGTTGATGCACATGTATCTTTCCTTCCCACTACTTATAATTACTAGATGATTGTATCAAAATATAAAATTTGCATTTTATGGTGAATTTTTTAGTTTAGTTTTTCTCTTCTTGGGCATGTTATGCATCTTTACCTGCTTGTTACATACCATCTCATGAATCAGGATTGGCTAGTACCTTCACGATAAGCAATTGCCAGGTATGGAAACTGATTTTCCAGGAGACCCTCGCGTCGCGTCTCAATTATATATATATATATATATATATATATATATATATATATTTTAAAACGATCTAAAAACCCAATTTTTTTTATATGTTAATTTTGTTATTCACTAGACATATTTTGTAATCTAAATTCCCTAACCTTATACATACCATGAGGACAACCTATGATCGATAACAACTTTAACTTTCATTTATGAACTCAAACCTCTAGTTATTGCAATTGAAATATATGGAAACAAATCTCAAACATGCATGGCCCTTACGTTAGGGATACATGATTGATATTATTTGCGAAACTTAATAGCTCTTCTGATAGTTTGAATCGGAAAAAGTGTGAACACAATTAAGCACATTAATCAAGATACAATCAATCCCGACTCTCATGTACTTAACCGTTAGGGAATCATTGATCGATGGTGCAATGATCATATATGACCCATACCATTGTCGACTCCTTGCAGCTAGTGCATGGCTGGTGTCTAGCTAGTGAGCAAAATGTGCTAGCAATTGGCCCACACGTTTTGTGTTGCAATATTGATATAGAGCCACTAACTTCGAAGCTTATAATCAATGAAGTAAAAGCTCCAAGTACGTAGAAGTGTAAATTAGGATTTATGAGAATTTGTTTGCTGACCTCTGAATCTCCATGGCCATGTGCATCTGTGCAGATTTTACACGAGCCATTTGTCGCGGATCATAAGGGGTGGTGGTGCCTCAGAGCTAGGTTGCTCCAGCCTAAGACACCTCGTCTATATATCTTGTCAGGAAGCTTGGGTTAAAATGGTGGTTTGGGAACCCTCTCTGAATCTATCTATATATACATATACATGCATGCATACACACGCACGCACGTATATATCTTGTGTGACCTCCACGGACCTGAGGGCTCCTTACAAGAAATTCATGGGCCTTCTGTCAAGGGGTCGTTTGTACGTGTTTGACTGGCAAGTTTTCCGGGGAATGCGCAGATTTAATTACATGCAAGAAACTTAAGGGCAAACCTCTAAACAGAGAATCTGATTAGGTCCCATGTATTTGATTGATTATTAATTAGATCATTCTATATTGGTTTTAATTAACGAATTTGTTAAATAATCATATAAAAATCAAGAGGTTTCTCTTTTCTTATAAAAAAATCTCTGCACGTTATGAAATAAACTATATATATATGACATGTTGTGTTTCTTTATGTAGTTTGGTTTATCATAATTCACAAGAATTTTATACAATGCAAAGCCAAAAATTAGAAATTCAAGGGAATTAGAGAGTTTGTAAGAAAAATAAAAATCATGTAAGTTTTACACGATTAATTATTAATCAATTTTTTCCAACATGAACTAACCAAAAAATATGATTGAGAATCTATTTGTATATATATAGAAAAACTTAATTGAAGACATTTTTGTATTTTGTAATAACTAAAGAAAGATAATAAAATAGTGTTTGTGTAAAATAAGAGACTTAATTAATCTAATGTGACAGCCTTCCCCTTGTATTTATCAATCAAGCAACATCCATGTAATAATATATTATACTACATAGAATAAATTTATATAAGATAATTACAATATTTTATATAAAATAACATATTTGATGACAGTAACACAGTACAGTATCCTTTTTAAAAGTATTTTTTTAATTAAAAATACATAAAAATAATATGTATATATATTTTTTATATTTACTTCAACACGTCAAAACCATTGAAAAACATTTAAAAATATTAATTTAATATTTTTCTAAAGAAAAAATGATTTGAAAGATATCTTTTTAAAACCATTTAGGAGTGCAGTGGCTTTTTATTAAAAATGCGTTTTTTTTAATATAATAATATAATATTTTTTTTATAATTTTAATGGTTAATATTAATTTTTTTAAAAAATTATTTAAATGGATGAAGGATCATCAGGCCATATCATATTTTCACCTGGTTAATATGGGGTTAATTACGTGCGTTTACGCGTTGAGCTGCCTCTAGAACAAAAGTCAAGTACTCTGGTCCCTACTTTTACTTCCACTAAAGGAAACTCAACTCGGTCTCTGAGTAGGACAAGCAATGCAATGGGATCCAACTCTTAATTTACTTTTCCTTCTCTCCCTCATATGACTTTCTATAGATTTTAATTTTATGCTAGCTCTCTTTAGCCAAAAATAAAAAAATAAAAATCCCCAAATCTGACGCTCGCGTTATCCCGTCAAATGCCAATATTCAGTTGCTCTCCTCTCCTTGAAGAGGCTGACTACTCGCCGGTGAGAAATAATTTTTTTTATTAATTTTAATATTTATGTTAATTTATGTATATCTCAATTAATTTTATACATTATAAAATTAATAATTATATAAATCTCTAATATTCCTTAACAAATTTAAATTCTTAATCATTGCAATATAAAAAATACTTATCTTTACCGTGATTAGCGCAACAGTATATATAAAAACTTTACCATAAATATATTTCCTTAAGAAGCAAGAAACATGTATGTATACTTAGGGCAATATTGTCGAAGAAGCCAAGAATTCAAACCAGACAAATTCTTTTAACACTTCCGTCAATAAGCAAGGAACATATATGTATACTTAGGGCAATACTTAGGGCAGTATGTTTATAATTTAGTTCTTTTACCAACCTTATTTATTTTTCTTGTTTGAGAAATTATTTAATTAGTAAACTAGATTTTAATTAATCTTCATATCTCGTGGATTGATTACTTGATTAGCTCCCATAAAAACTGTATACAAGGATTAAATTATAATTACCTCGATAAGAATGGAAAAGAGGGTTTCTTCATTCCT